CTCAATGGTCCATCAATGATCGTCTTTCGATTCTCTCTTCTTTTCAATCACGTTTGAGCAACACATCCGATACCTCTTCTTTGGACTTGTGGAAAATGTATCGGGAGGAAGTCTTTCCTCTAATTCGTCCCCACTCTCTTCCTAATAGTTCTCTTGTATTGGCAGATACTTTCACTCGTGTTATCTTCGTTCGTCATCCATTAGAGCGTATGGCATCGGCTTACACTGACAAAATTATGTCACTTCAAACTACACCTTTCTCACTCTATGATAGTATTCGTCGAATGATTTGTCGAAAATTTGCTTCATTCTATTTGGAACCCAACGAAGCAGCTTTTTATCATCAGGGGAGAATAATGTTACAGATGACCGATGAACCGTGTGGAAAAGTGGTGCCCTCATTTGAGCATTTTCTCGAGCTTGCCATTTCCACTTCAATGTCGACGGATATTCACTGGCAACCCTATTCGACATTATGTCAGGCATGTACACTCAAATATAATTTTATTGGCAAGTATGAAACAATACAATCTGATCTTCACATGCTCATGTCACATATAAATATAACATCGACTGACTGGTATTTCCATCGTCGTTTTTCGAGCGGCCGAACAAGAGAGCAGTATCAATCGATGTATACTAACTTGCCCAATCGACTCATCTGCCGTTTGAAACAATTCTATCAAAATGATATTAGGCTATTCGACTACCAATTCGAAGATTACTTGCCTGGAAATCGAACACTTTCCTGCGCTTATTAGGTTTGCCCACGACCTTTTCGCTAAAATTTACAACTTCATTGTCATGTCTATAATAGAAGAACAACTGATCATATGGCAGATAATCAATAGGTTTCTATGGATGTAACGCTAAAATGACTTTCATTCTTAGACTAGGCCATACTATTTTTCGTGACCTGTGTGCTATTATCGACTAGGGCTTTGTTATTATATTCTTGTGCAAGAAATAAATAAAGTTCAAAATAAGTAGAGACTTTTTCTTTTCTGACTGTCTATATTAATAAAAACAGAATACTTTAGCGGCGTTTTCTCAAATCAACAAGATTTAATGTTGCTGATTCCGAAGAATCTAGTGGATGAATGAGGTTCTATTCTTCGCTATCGCCATCTCACTCTAAATTAGGCGCATTGCTCGATGTTCAGACTGTCATTGAGTGTTACACCAAAAATCCCTACTAATGAGGGTAGGTCTCATAACTCTTGAAATATTCTGAAAGTTTCAACCGAGAAGAATGTTTCTTTCTTGAGATATTGGATTTTCAAATAAACTCGTTTTTTTGTAACCTGCCTATTGCTGGCGACAATGTGTTGGAAATTCAATATCTCGGCAAATGAAAATTTGTTTCTGTTGAAACTCTCAAAATATTCTAAGTGTCATTAAACCTATCTATATATTGAATTTCAGTACGAAATTCCATAATTCAATTTTTCAGTCAATACCTAAAGATGAGTCATGAACCAACTCAATAGATCTATGAGCATGAACTCTTTGAGGTTTTTTTTTTGTAGTATTACCGAGACCTTCTGGTAAGTTCAATATGAGTTCAAACAACGGACTACAGCTGAGTAGTTCTTTCGTAAGCGGAAATGTTAAAATTCAATAATAGTTACTAACAGCTGTAATTATCTCGATATTAAATAATCATACAATCAGAAAACAATGGTTTTGTTTTATCAAATATTTAAGTTATCTTGGAGAGCATGTGTTTATTATATTTATTTTTTAAAGCTATTAATTTAAGTTTATTTAAGAATATTCATTTTATAATGTAAAGTGAACAACGGAATAAAATATAATTCTTGTTCTGTATAGTAAGAAAAAAAATTCATAGTCATTAGAAATATTTTATATACGGTGGTGATGGTAAATTACTATCTGTATAACTATAAAGAGCTGCTTGTTTAAATAGACATGGTGTTTCACGCCATAAATAACGAAGACCATATAGTTGTTGTCCAACACATGAACTTGATATTGTTAATGTAATAGTCAAAGCATATTTACTAGATACAGTTGCTGGTACCCATAAACTATCATCTTTACATCGAGAACCTTGACAACAAACTTCAAATCCATTTGGATTTCGTAAATCAATATTTTGAACAGCAGTATAAGTGATATTAACAGTTTTACTACCACTTGAATAACTTACACTTGATACAATAGGACCTTGATATTCAACTTGCTGATTATAAGCTACAGCTAAACCAGAACGTGATAATCGATAGCCAACATCATGTTTAGTTCGAGGATGAATACTAAAAGTATATACATAGATATATTCACCTCAAATCCTTTTTTATTCTTTAGTTATGGTTACTTATTAGGATCATCACGTAAATCTAAAGCAACAGCCATAAATACTTTAGGAACAACATTATTTGGTACATAACCAACATCAAATGTTTGATGCCATCGAATAACTGGAAAACCACCAACTACTGTACTTACATTTGTCCATGTTGATAACTACATAGAAAAAAAATACATGCATATGATTGCTATTTTTTTTTCGTTAATAAAAACAAACTTGAACAAAACCAAATGGAAAGTCAAGATCTGTTAAGTCACCTGTACGATCATTCCATGTTTGTCTCCAATATTGAATCATTTTTGAAAATGTACAAGCATATTTATCTGTATTATAACCAGCATTGGCTTCACCTAAATAACTATACAAGTGAATAATAAGTATATTATTTCATTTCCTATTACCTTGATACCAAATAGCACCATAAACAACCATACGTGTAAATGGATAAATCATGGCATTGAATAGATTAGAGTTATTAAGTGATACCATTTCAGAAGATTGACCATAGGGTTGTAATTTTATTTTTTCATTTCTATTTTGTAAATGTAAAATCATGACATGAATAAAAATATCTTTTTTTTATTCAAAACTTACGATGAAATTCCACAATCATGTAAAGCTTCTGGTGGCATCCATAATTCAATAGCTGTACCACCCCAACTCGTAGCTATAAGTCCAATAGGTCGACCATCTAATGCTTCATGAATCATACGACCATAAAGCCAACATACAGCTGACATATAAGTAAATGATGGTCCACCAATACTTTGTGGTGATGCAACAGACCAATTTTCAACAATGCCAAGTAATTCTTCTATAGGTGTATCAGATGGTTTTAGTGCAGCAGTAAATACTCGAATTTTAGGATAGTTGCCAGCATTATTTATTTCTTCTGTTGCATTAAAAATATCTATAACTGCCATTTGCATATTTGATTGTCCAGAACATATCCATACATCACCAAATAAAACATCATGAATTGTAATAGTATAAAGTGTACCATTAGCTAATGTTTGTGTAACATGAATATCATATGGTCCTTCATCAGAATATGGATCAAGTATAATAGACCAAATACTTTCACCTAAATCATTTGCTGGTTCTGCTCGACTAATAGTTGCATAGATTTTATTATGAATTCGAAGTGTAGTTAATTTGTTTGATTCTCCAAAACCCCAAATAACAGCTCTTTGTGGAGCTCTTTGTAATACCATATGATCTTGAATATAATTGGCAAAGCGAGGAAGTCCATTATCTATTATTTTATGATATTTCTTATATATTAAAATATATATTTTTTGAATACTTACTGCATGAAGCAAAACTTAAGAAAAACAACGATACTAATCGAAACATGTCCATCATTAAAATGTTGTGTTTCTTTTAAGTTCAATAGATATGATAGCAGTATTGTTAGACAAATATCTTTTTATCAATTGTGATAAAGCCAAGTAAACTTTATGTCAACAGTAGACAAAAATCTTATCTATTTATAAATACTTTGGTTATTTGCTATCTCAACATGCTATAAATGATTCTTCACCGCAGAATTTTGTTATTTAATGTAACCAAATATATCTTCTTTTTTTATTTGACTATTTTTTTCAATGAAAATATCTCATGTTGAATATATGAAATACACTCATTCTTATATAATGAAGGGAAGGAACACTTGTGTACTAAAATAATATACATTGAAAATGTGCGAAATATTTTTCATAAGATCTTTTTTTCGAATGCACACAAAAGTGTCTTCTTGGTCGAAAGACGTGTTACTTGTAATATTTTACGTTGTGTCTAGCGAAGGATTTAGTGAAATCCTATTTCAATTCAAAATCACTTTCGTCCCTGTGCTAAATCAATTCAGTTAGAGTGAATTCATCAGTTTTATCAATATTTTGACTGTTGGACTTGTAGTTACTCAAATCTGGTGAAAATCCATATAATTTTACAACGCTCCTGAATAGGCACACTTCACAGCCATATCGTGGTAGTTTTAAAGAAAAAGTCTCGCTGACGTTACCGCGACAATGTCGACATAGACATTGCTGCTCTATGTTAATGTTAGACACGATTTTGTATCCATATGATTCAAGTGTGAACAGATATGAGTGACTATTTTGATTGTATTAAGATATTATAAAAAAAAAAAAGAAAGCTTCATTGTTTTGTTTTTTTTTAAATCATTGGATGCTATTATTAGAATTATAATAGTATATCACTGTGATTTTTTATCTCTTCGTTTTTATGTCAACATATGATGCTCGATATATATGTTTTTTGCTTTTCTGTGTATCTTTTTTAGTTACCGACAATAATATTGCACAAGGTCATTTTTTTCATTACTTGCAACAGGAACGATAAAAAGAGAAAAGAAAAATAACAAGGAGAACAACCTTTCTCATGTTTATAATAAATATCATTTCATCAATGTAGTCCAATATGATGTAATCTTTTTACATCAAATAACGTATCTCATCATGAATTGATCATCATAACAACGATCATGTATTCCATAATAATTCCGTTGAGTTGGTTTCTTCATATAATTTTATGTTTTTATTTAATTCGACCACTCCAAATAGTTTTACATCGAGCTCTATTGACATTAATACCATGTTTTATCTTAATATTGGTTAGTTGTCACAATCTACCATATTTTCATATGTCATCAATCATTTCAATTTCACTTTATTGGATGATTACAATACGTCTTATTCAATTAATTATATTTTCACCTAATGAAATACATTCATTTCGTATATATGCATTCAAGTTTCTTTGGTTTTTTATTCCTATTGTACCTTGTCAGTCAAAAAATTCAATTAGTTTTTATCTTTTTTCAGCTAGTATTAAAATGTTATTATATCATTGGATTTTTCAATGGTTAAGTAATTGTGAACCAAATGATAGTTATGGTAGATTGATGATGTTCTATATAAATATTTGTACAGGAACATTTCTTAATGATATACAAATTGTTTTGGTTAGATTACTTACGTTAAATAAATATAGCCTTTTAGAATTTAATAATTATCCATTTTTATCAAAATCTATTCGTGAATTTTGGGGTCGTCGTTATAATCGTCTTGTTGGTACACTTCTTAAAGAAGCTATTTTTGATCCTGTTCGTCGTTTGCCATATTCTTCATCAACGATTGGAGCTTTAGCAAGTTTTATTATGAGTGGTCTACTTCATGCACATGTTGCTGTTGCTGGATTTGGTGCATCATCTCCATTACCATCATTTTTATTTTTTCTTTTACAAGCAATTGCTTGTTGGGTAGAAATTATGTGTCCATTTACACCACCTAAACTATTAGGAATTTTATTAACACATGGATTTCTTCTTATAACAGCACCTCTTTATGTGGGGTTATTTACACGTGCTGGTCCTGAATTCTATAGATTTAATAAGCCATTACTATTTGATGCCACATGGTTTCCTAAATTACCTGTACCAAATTTCTGTCCAAAATAAAGATTATTGATAGTTAATCATCATGGATATGTAATTTGTATTGTGTCTAAAAATGATTATTTGACAAAAAAAAAATGTTTTATCTTCTACTGGTATTTTTATTGATTTTATTTTGTTTAACTAACAGAAAATTGCTTTCAATCCTTAATATCTAACATTGACTATCATTCTATGCTATACAAATGTTTTTACTAGGTTCTTCGTAAAAAAAAGTAATACAATCAGGTATCGGGATAGAAGATTTTTAGAACTGTTGAAACTTTATCTTTTTATTCATCAACTGTGCCTATTTTTACGAAATTAGAGTTTGAACTCAAGAAATTTTCGAATCAGAATCAAATTCTTCTCATAAAAATTCTGATTTTTATGAATATAGAGTATCATGTTGTCCTGCTGGACACTACATTTTATTGAAAATACATGTTACGAAACAAAGTTCATGTAACCTTCATGTTCTTCCAATACTATGCAGTAAAATCAAAAGGTTAAAATAATTCTTTTATTCAAATTTCTGATGTATTGAAATTAGGGTGAAAAAAAGCTTTAATAAAATTATTGGTAAGTTTTTTCTTCAATTGTAATAATTGCTAAGTCAGATTGGCTATGTCTATGATAAAAAACATCGATAAAAGATGTGAAATAGGCATAATGAGTTCATTAGTCATAATGAAACATAGTTCAATAGAACAGTTTTTAAACTAGAATTTGAAAGTTGATTACTAAGATGTATTTGATTACATTTTTGTAAATAGAATATTAATATTCTGCTCGATAACTCTTTGCGCTAGATATTTATTGGCATAAACTTTACTGCTTACGACTTCTTTTTTTTTTCTATTTAAAAAATAAAATAATCCAATCAAAATGTGTACTATTCGATCCTTTCTAATATTCTATTTCTTGTAATGTATAATACTGCGTAAGCAACTCACATATGAAAGTAAAACATTTGAGCCTATTAACACTTCCAATTGTAAATATTGGTTTTTCGCAAAACATATCATGTATAAATAACATCACGAATCAATAATAATTCTATGTGTTGATAGTGAGTTTATAAGATTATATGAAACTAATGTTTCTGTTCATCCACTATCGTTTTAGGTAAATTGTTTAAATTTCCAGCAAGTATATCTTGCTATTTTAAATGCATGTATATCATATGATTAAAAAATGAATATCTCTATACTGATAAATGATGATTATCATTCAAAAAAGATTTATATAGTTTTAATAAAAGCGATTAATTTGTTATTTCAATATTCTATTGCAACAATGTGGATACGATAAGCATATCGTAGATAAAAACCATCGCAAAATTGTCATAAGATTATCAGTCATTCTTATATGTATTTGAGCTCAATTCATAAGTACTGTTCGCAGAGTATGACAACGAGAAAAAAGTATCATATGATAGTCCATATGGACGTACCAAGTAAATATCTGTACAATGGTCCTCGTCATGATTGCAATGCAAATGGAAGCGAAGTCTATATTTTTTCAATCTAGTTTCGATAAAATTTCATCAAACATAATCTGGAGAGAATGTTGAAGTATAACGGTGTGAATATTTGCATTAAATCCTTACATAGACGTGACAGATATTATCAATGAAATCATAAATAGAGATATGAAGGTAAGCTTTTTCTCATATCCTATAGTTTGCCTGAGAAAATTTTCTTACGCTTACCCAACCCTATGAATTCTATGTCTTGCTTCTCTCTCAAGTCTATTGTAATGCAGTTGTAGTTCAGTTCGGATATGAGTATGTATCTTCTCAGTACCTGCACGTCTCCATACCTACATTCACATCCTAAAATAGCAAAATTCTGATCCTCACATCTGTTACCTTTATTTATACAAAAAAATTAATATTCTCGTCCACGTTATGATAATATTATAAGGATACTATATATATATCTTTATGCCGAGTTTTTGTTCAATTGAAATAACATTCTAATTTCTTTACACTGCGTGTATTCGCCATTTCCTTAAAATACTATTATCTTTTATAATGAATTCATTGAATCTTTGATTACATTAGACTTGTGCTCGAATTCGATCACAATATTTGTTGAAATCGAGAACAGATCGATATTTTTATTTTATATGAAGCAAGATATATAAGCACATTTACAGAGTAAATATCTAAACTATTCTTTTTGTTCATAAATTGTCTTTCAAAGTCCTTTTGCTGCGTAGAATTAATCAAGATTGGAAATTAAATGTTTCTAAATTCAATTTCTATTTTCTTTCTACTAAAATGTTAGTAGTTTTACTTATAACATATATCTATTTCCAGATGGCGACTCGATATATTAAAACAGCGATCGAGGTCAAAATGATAATTACTTTCTTCTATTACTAACGATAGTCTCTTATTCAAAAGAAAAAAAATTAAAATATTTTTTTCTATAGAATATGAAAAGAAAGAAGTTGTGATTTATTTTTGTGTCTTACTTAACTGAATTAATAATATCAATTAAAAACATTATGTTGGCGTTAAATTTATATATAGACATAAGTAGAGAATCTTTTCATTATTTTTCAACATAAATGATCAATCTACTAACAGGTATTTGTCTATCAAGGCAAACAAATCAAATAGTATATAATAGCCTAAAAAAAGATTGTCAATTGAAACAAACCGTACTTATTGCCCTGTGCCTAGAACAAATATTTATGCATAATGATTATATATCTATGAATGATAAGTCTTCATTCCATTCAAACTCAAAGCAATCAAACACAAGCAAGCATTTAAAAGGTACAATATTATACTAACCATTTTTCTAAAATAAGTGCACTTTGATTTTCATACGTTTTACCAACAGAACAAACGATACGATTGTTCGTAGTTATACATGATTCTACCATTAGATAAGTAAAGCAAAATGTATCACTCATGTAGTGGGTTTTTAAAGCGAACATAACGTAATGTTAACATAATGGTTTTTATTCAGCTAACGTAAATAGAAGAAATAAAAAAACGATTCTTAAGAATGTGACGAAGGTCATCAAGTTAACTGGACATCTTTGACTAGATAGAAACCTTTTTTTTTGTCATTATTAAGTGAATGATTGTAACACACGGAAATGGTTATATGTTAGAAAAAGAAATCGAGATATTTCAGTTAGAGAATAGATTCTGAATATCAAGTGTTTCGTACTTTATCATTAGTATAATTACGATGAGTATCGAATCATTTTTATAAGAATATTAAGGAAGGTGATATAAGGAGAGCAAATAAAATATAGTAAAGAGAGAAGAAAAAAAGAGAGAAGAGAAAATAAGAAGAAGAAAGACAGATGTATGCATGAGAGAACAATAAACAATACATGATAGACTTCACATAGATAAAAATTTAAAACAGTGAAGAAATAGTGCTTGTTGCTTAGCATGTATATATTTTTTATTCGTTTTCTTTGTAAGAAATGTTCAAAGTAATCAGTTTTGACTCTTATGAAATAAGTTTCGTCATAATAAAGGAAGAAGAAAAGTTCTCAGAACTTCAGTAATCAATATATCTCTACAGTCACTTAAATAATTTCAACAAGTAAGTAGTCATTTTAAAGAGTATTTCAACGTATACTTATTGTTCAAAAATAAAGGTTTCAGGTTAAGAAATACCAGAGATATAAATGTGAGAATATCATTAAACGTTTTCTAGAAACATTTTTTATCCTTGTTGGAAAAGTCTTTGCACTGCATGTTTCATCGATCTCCGACTACGTATAACTCACTGGAAAGAATCAAAAGTAGTTCATCAAAATGAGCATTTCATGCTCTTTCTAAATATATATTTAAAAATTTGTTTTTTGAACTTATAGTTGGTTTAATAAGAGTAAATCCTTGAAAAGATCAAAAACGACGTTTGTACAAAATACTAAGTTATCAGTTCTTAGTACATGTTCGCTCGTTTTTGGGACATCCAGATGCCATTGAGAAGAATAAAAAGTAGTCAGTTAGAATCAGAATTTGATGTTCTTCGTAAATGTATTTTTGGAAATTTTCTCTGACTTTAAGCTGATGAGCTGTGAGTATATCGATGGGAGATTTCCGAGAACTCCCTTTCTTATATCATTATAACAAGAAGCGAGCACTGTAAGTCTGATTTATTAACTGGCCAATTCACCTCTCAGGTGCTGACAATCAAAAAAAGAAAAGTTTAAAAAAGTTAGTCAGCGTAACACTGAGAAAGTAGCGAGAAAGAGTTAAAGAGTATGATAACTATATCAGAATGTGGCTGTGTGAGTCACGTGTTTAAACAACATGTTCGTTCGAATGACCAGTTGAATTATAGGTCATGCATATGCCGAAGTGATAACAGAAGAGGACAGAAAGAGATAAGATATGTATATATTGTGCTCAAAATTAAAATTCTTTTATTGATGAAAAGAAAAAGGTCAAATTTTGATAACAAAGTGTATTTACGATAATTTAAACTACTGATAGTTTTACTTACGCATTAATTCAATTCAAAGTATAAATAGACACGTTTACAAGGACCTATTTCTTCGACACTCATATACTAAAGGGAAGGAGAGAAAAGTTCTCAAAAATCTTCCATCGATATACTCACAGCTCATCAGCTTAAAGTCAGAGAAAAAGTCCGAAAATACATTTACAAAGAACATCAAATTCTGATTCTAGTCCACTATTTTTTATTCTTTTCAATGGCATCTGAATGTTCAAAAAACGAGCGATCCTATACTAAGGACTGTTAACTGAGTGTTTTGCACAAACGTCATTTTTGATTCTTTCAACGATTTGCTCTTATTAAACTCATCATAAGTTCGAGAAAAATTTTAAACGTATATTTAGAAAGAGCATGAAATGCTCATTCTGATGAACTAATTTTGATTCTCTCTAGTGAATTATATGTAGTCGAAAATCGATTAAACATGTAGTGCAAAAACTTTTCCAACAAAGATAAAAAATGTTTAATGATATTCTCACATTTACACCACTCGTATTTCTTAATCTGGAACCTTTATTTTTTAACAATAAGTATACATTGAAATACTCTTTAAAATGTCTACTTATTGAAAATACTTACATGACTGTAGAATATAATATTAAATGGTAATGGTTCGTTGGATGATGAGTGGATTGAGGCTAAAACATATATGATTGAAGATAATCTTTTAATCGTACTTCATTAGTTATTTAAAATAGATATTGTTATTGTTCGAACAAAGAGACAGTGCTGAATTTTGTATTTATTTTAATTTTATGATGATGTGTTCTCTTGGTTTTTATTTACTATGAACTGATATAGATTGATCATATATTTACCATTATCATACTTTAGTAATCCTCTAACTATACTGTATATCTCAGATTTTTATCCTTTTGTATGTGTGCATAATGTGATTTTGAGTGTCGTGATTTTTATGTACTATTACAAACTCAAATTTCATATGTGCATTAAACGTTGTTTAACATATTTGTTATGTGGCCCGCATACATAACACTATGTACTAATATATTCTTGGATAACTTTTTATATTATGCTTTCTTTTTTTCTTTTATAACAACATATAAAGTTTACCTGTTGGCACAGAGACCATAGCGACTATACCAACAAGTGAACTTTATATGTTGTTGTGAAAGAAAAAAAGAAAGTATAATATAAAAAGTTATCTCGGAATATATTAGTTGCTTAGTGCTAGGTATGTGTGCCATATAACAAATATGTGAAACAAGATTTAATGTATAAATGAAAATCAACTTTGTAATAGTACGTAAAAATCATTACACTCGAAATCATATATGCACACATACAAAAGGATAAAAATCTGAGATATACAGTATAGTTAGAGGATTACTAGAGTATGATAATGATAAATATATGAGCAATCTATATCAATGTATAGTATATAAAAAAACAAGAGAACACATTATTATGAAATAGAAAAGAATACAATAATAAAAAATCAAAATTCAACTCGGACTTTTTAATTGATCGGACTATAGTATGTTGTATAAATTGATTGGATGTATATTCTTGGGCATATTGATAGAGACAGATATATTTAGATTGTCAATGAATATCTGATTAGATTTAGCACCCATACAAGTAACAAAATTACAGCAATAAATAATGAATATATATGAATTTAAATTACTAACTTGAGCCAAATTAATATATGTATAAAATATTTTCTATTTATTCTCTCCAAAGCTAATGTATGTACGACGATCACTAAACTATGAAATAATTAGTTCCACAAAATGCTACTACTCTTGTAATGTTAGCCGGTATATTACTTTTTGCTCCTTGATGCATAGATAGAATAGCCATGGAACTTAGATAATCTGAACGAAAATCAGACTCTTCCGATGACAAGAGAAACTCTTCAGGCGTCAAATCGCTCTTCAATCGAGACGATGTTTATTTGATAAGTGCTAGTGAATAATTTGGTTCTCTGGGCTTTCATTCGTGAACCTTCGTAATTTTACTGAGTTTTTAACAAAAAGTTGTAGTATCCACAAGGCACATGCATAATCGACTTCAAACTTTGTATGAATAAAGTTTTCAATAAGATTAGTTCATTGAGCACATTTTAGCTTTTATAGTATTTTCTTTCTGAACATGTAAATATATAACGAAATTGACTTTTACACGTGAGAGAATTTCGAATATTCCATATCTGAGGATGAAAAACAGTAGAAAGAGTACAACTTAACCAATTAACTAATATCATCCAGAACTTTTATATGTTTGTTGAATTTTAGAGAAAACTTCTATCGTTCATTCAACTTCTATTTTGTAATTTCAATTTTCACTTCTTGTGTCATTTCATTCAACTTAACAAAATTTTTGTCTCTTCATTTGTATTACATATTTTTTTCTTTTTATACTACTTATGTTTGCCTCTTTTCGTTTTTCTCAACTTCTAAGTAAGATAAGACGATAGTACTAGTCGGAATTTTTTCTTTTCTTTTCATTGTTTAAATCAGTTTGTTTTTCAAGCAGTAAGAAAGCGATGGTAATTCCTATATCTCTCATAAGTATTTATCCCTCTAACTCTTTTAATAATATGACAATAGTTTCCTACGTTTTCTAATAGATATGATGAAACATTTTATTCTTATTAAACTTCTAACATTTGCGGCAGTAATCATAACTGACGAGTAATGATCACTAATACTAACCTTTTGAATTTCTCTTTTCGTTCGTCCTACATTTTGTAAACGTTGAATCGATGTTTCTATTCTAACATTTAGAAGAATGTGAGAGTTACTCTCGACTCGTCCCCAACTGGTCCCCAATTCGTCCCCTCCGCATTAATTGACTCTCAATTCGTCCCCCACAAAATTCGTACCCCGTTAATTGATTCTCAATTCGTCCCCCAATCCAATAGCTACTAATTGGTGGCTAATTTGATAAACAGACGATTTTTAACAATCAGCTGTTTTATTCAAGAGTAACAAAGAAACAAGAAAAAAAAATAAAAGAAACAAAAATCATTTGACAAGTTTTGTCTTCAAAGCGCGTCCGTATTTGATCGCGAGTTGCATGTCAGTGTTCAATCCGCCCTCATGGTCGTTAAGAAAGAGCTCGAGATTCTCGGGTGGGTGTCGTTGAAGACTAGAGCCATATCCATATCCTCATCAACACCCACACCCTACGAGCTTTAACGATTTCTTGTGTATAGATGTTGGGGATCGGCATAGTCTCCTCTCGTGCACGTTTTTTCATATTACCAACTGCTTTGTCGACTAGAGATTTGCCGACAGCAGCTGGTTGTCGAAAAGTATGAGTAGAGGGCTTGCGAAGAACTTTTGCATCGACTATGCAAAGAGAAAGCATGCTGGCACAACCACGATCTCGACAACGCCACTCGTTGCTCGTCTTTCTCGCACGCTTCTTTGTGTATTGATGAGAATTGTAATTGAGTATAGGTTGACCGCGCTCCGAAGGTGTGAATAGCAGCATTTCTCAGAGCAGAGATAATGTCAATAGGGAAACTAATACACTACTAAGAAAACACATCATATATATATATACAGAGTGCTCTACGCAGCAATCAATTTTCTGATTGATGACTACTATTCCTATGTTTGTTTCTAATTGTTTCTGAACAGGCATGAGCTAATTGAGGGGACGAATTGAGAATCAATCAACTAGGAACGAATTTTGTTGGGGACGAATTGAGAGTCAATTAAGGGGGGACCAGTTGGGATAATTGGCAAGGGGGACCAGTCGAGAGGATCCCGAATGTGATAATGATGGAATGTAAAAAAGAAAAAGATTGTTTTTTTTTTCTTTTTACTCATTCTTTCAAATTTCTATTTCTTTTATCTGATGGTGCACTATATAAAAACTGAATCGTATATATGAATATTATAGTATTCACTGCTGTGTCATATCTATTAACAATGAATAAAATCAGTATTTATTTATCACCAATAATTCTTATTGCATTTACTTCATTTGTTATTGGATCTTTACTCTATGATCATTATCAACGTGGATATTCATTTACTAGTCGTTCATCAAATGAAACTATATTTATTGAACAAGCTTTGAAAAGAATTTCAAGATGTAATGAAGAAGATCATTTACGACAACGAGCTCTTCTCTATACTCTTCAAACATGGAATAATCTTGCTCAATCATATCATCTTCAATATTGGATAGCTTATAAAACACTTGCTGCTTATATTCAATATAATGATTTATCACCTTATGATAATGATATAGACATATTTATAATGTATCAAGACATACCAAAACTACTTAATCTAAGTAATGCAAATTATTCATCAACTTATGAACTCGAAATTCATCCACAATGGTTTATAACTGAAGTTTTTAATCGATCTTATACTCCGTCTGATATAATTGGTTTTACTATACAGAATGCAAGATTTATCAATCATGATAATAATGTATCAATAAATATTTGGCCTATCTATAAATATTATAATAAGCATATATTATTATTTGTTGAATATTCTGATTTTGATAATTTGATTTTATCTCCCATAGAATGGACATTTCCATTAGAACCATGTGTTTTTAGTGGTATTAAAATATGGTGTCCAGCACAACCTAAAAAACTCACTACTACACTATACAAACAAACATCGTTATATGTATCTTGTATCAATGGTTCATGGATTCGATCAATTTCAATAGAATAGATATTAACTGTGATAAAGATGACTTCGAATAAAATTTTGTTATGACTCATCATGAATATATGTATATGGAATAGTTTTCAAAATTATTATGAACTCTGCTTAATATATAATTGTGATTGTATTGAAGAACGACATAAATTTGACTTTTGAAATTTTCAAACAAAAATAACTCATACTAACATTAATCGAAACAATATGAGTGAGTCTTGTATAATTTTACATGATATTCATCAAGTATATTCTATGGGTGAATGTAAATTTTTGATATTTCAATAAATTTTAAAATAATTCTACATTATTGGTTTCAATCAAGGATAAATAATCTAACTATGATTAATATTCGAAATCATGAATTATTTATTTATTTATTTTTAGAATTTCTATAGATTTCTGAGTATTATACAAAAATAATTGCATTCAAACAACTGTTTCCAGTAAGAGTGAGTAAAAACTGATGATTCATCTTATGTATATCGGAACATCAATACGATCTGTATTTCTATGACATGTTACTAACTGAATTGTATTTGCATCTGTTACTTCTAGGGTATTCAGTTTAGCTAACGTCGTCTTTATCATCTGTTACCATTAAAGTAATTAAACAATTCAATTTATTCATTTTTATGTATTTTACACCATTATTATCATCATTATAACAAAAGATTCACTGAAAACGGCCATGAAATAAAAAAAAAGAATAATAACGAATAGAATTACTGTGGACTCATTTGCTCGGTTGAATAATATGAAAAGAATAGTCTACATTGCTTAGAAAGAAGTCCGGTAAACAAGTACGAAATCGAAGTATCGACCCACCAATGTCATATCATTTATGTAAATAATTTCTTTTATTTTGTATTATTTTTATTCTTTCATCCTTTATCATACGAATAGTTATTTCAAGACGCACAGGAAAGCTGCTTAAATCAAGATTTTCAAATTTTGTTCAATGTGAGATTTTGTTATAGAGAGAAGAGTTTGTTGAATGAACATTGGCGCAAGTTGTTTTGAAACATATTGAACTGTTGATTTTTTATAGTTGATATTAAGCTGAAATTTTTTATAGACATGTACTGTTATGAGTTATACAGTACCTGGCATAAGTGGACACGCGCTCTTTTCGTTGTTCAAAAGTGATCTTTCTTTGATCTTTTCGCTTTGTTTGAATGGACTAGTCACGCTCATCATTCGATATAAATAGAAACATTTATACTCATTGTGTGATCACTTTATAACTAATTAGAAAAAGAACCTTTTTTTTAAAGAAAAGACGAGCAACTATCTTTCTATAAAGGCAGAGCTATTCCCAACATACGTCAAATGGTGACATTTCACAGTATCTATACGAATCAGTGAGTAATTGTAAAACGTAGGCTTAAAAGGTATGAAATAGCTGGTGACGTATAAGTTGCACAAAAATCCGGTCTATACCGGAAAAACAATTCGCAACGATTCAATCCATGGTAGCTCGACGTTCAATCGAATCTGTCGGTCAAATTGCGTTTAGATTATCACAGAGAGATATAAAAATTCGTAAAACCACATCAAGAAGAAGATTTAAAGAGACTGATGTACATTTAATGAAACCGACTTCAAAACCGTTGCTAACAAGTGACGATGTTTTATAAAAGACTCCAGCAGGATATAAAACTTAAAGACTAATCCAAGTGAAAATGTCTGGGCATTAATGAAGCTCAGAATAAACAAAGAACCGTATATATCAATCAATGATTTCATTGAAAGAATAAAACAAAGAATGGAGAAACTTAGTCAATCAATTTGCTGAAAATTAGGCGCTTCTATGGAAAATAGAGTAGCATTGTTAATTGAAGGAAAAAGCGATTATATTAATTATGAAGATGATGCACATATAATATAGATTTCATAAATAAAATATAAACAAATAACTCCTTTGTTTTGCTCATTTTTTCAATCACAGCCATTTATGGCGAGTACTGTAGCCAACATGAAGTTTTCAACTTAAAATATTGAGCCATTAATTTTTTGACTCATTCAATACGAGCAAAAATTCTCATGTTAGGCAACTTTAGTGTTTCATAACTTGTGATAAGAATAAAATAATGGTCTGAAATTGTTACTGGAGATAGTGTTCATAGCGATATATGTCTACTATAAATTTCAGCTTCACACAATCTTTTTTTTCGACTAGTAGGACTCTCTTTCAATTGAGTTTTTGATGAAAATTGTGATTTTCAGGTAAGGTTTTTTTCCAAGAAACCTAACAGTTTGAAAGTTGAGCTTAAAAAGTTCGAAGAGCTATCTATGATGTACAACTTCAAAGAAAAATCGAATTGATTCCATTTTACTTTTATGCTTATACACCTTTTAAATCTGTAAGAATATTTTAATTCTTTTAGGACGTGCGTGTGGATTTAAATCTTCTCTAAATCCATACCCGCACTTATACCCTCTTATGCAAGTTTTCTACTCTTAAAAAAAAGCTGATGGACTATTAAAAATTATTTTTGAAGATTCATCAAATTGATTCATGTTTGGAACCGACTGGTGGACACTCTTGACTTAACCAGCAGAATATTAATATGTTTCATATAGCAATTAGTCAATCCGTTCTATGAAGACATGCAATGTAAAATTCATATAACTCTCAGAGTTTCTAATAGGAACAACTCCTATTTTATTCTCTCATGTTTAGAGCATGTAGGGTTTACTTAGGTCCGACTCTGAAACTTTTCTGTTAACTGAGTTCAGACCAAAACCTTTTTCAAAATGTGTCACCTAGTCACTCACAGCAACTAACATCTAATATACTACGCATTGGCCAACTGTTTTTAAATAATGATAGTATTTGTTTACAAATGATAAGTTTGATCTATTCTTATTTGTAATAATTACCTAACACAACTGAAAAGAAATCTCCATTATATTAGATTTTTTATTATAAGATTTACATTTTGTAATGAAATCATGAGCTGAAAACTACTAGCTGTTGAAATTTCTTGAGAATCGGTTAATGATAGTTCAGAAAAGTGAGCTTAAAATTTCAAAATGAAAAATGTTTAGTTAGACTGACATGAACCTTTAATGTCTGACTATAATTTCGTGAACATGATAAATTCATTCAGTATGATTTGAGGTTTTTCACAATGAGAAGAAATTCGTCAGTTCGAGACTTCTACCTTGATGATTAAAAACATTGAAATCCTTAAAAAACGAACAAAGTAAACCAGTTTTTACTGGCCCTAAAATTCAATAAAACAAAGCGACTAGTTTTGCTTCAAGTATGAATAGATCCAAAACCTTGAATTTAATTATTAGTGTATATATTTCTAATTCATTAATATTATTATCTATAGTTGATGCAATATTCTCTATCTAAAGGATAACATCACTGATATTCTTAATGATTTGAGATGAATATTTTATTCAGAAAGTTAATCGTACTATAGTATAGTTATGGTATCATATTCTAATATGGAACAAAATGAGTAGTCCTATAATGATTCTTATTGCTATTAATGATTACTATTTCACTTCAGAGTAAAGCATCCTATTCTGATTGCTGTTATTGCACTCTTAATTAGTCACGTGTAAGTACTTGGCATAAAAGTAAACAAGAAAAACAAAATAATACATCTTATTACAATATTCAACATTTGAACCATTGATTATAAATATTTATATAATGGATGCCCCAAAATTTTCCAAACAATTTACTTTTCTAGCATTGCTAGTATTCATTGTATTTATGATTGTTTATTATGCTGAAAATAATCATATTTCTATTAATTTAATATCAAATATAAATAATACAATTGAACAAGCCCTTAGAGAAATGCCAATCTGTAGTTCAAGAGATCGTCGTCGTCAACGAATTCTACTTTCAATGCTTCATGCATGGACTCAATTTGCTAATACACATAATATTCAATATTGGATAGCGTATGGAACACTTGTAGGTTATGTACAACGTCGAGGTTTATTACCACATGATTCTGATACTGATGTATTAATATTAGCACAAGACACACAATATCTTGTTCCATTTACTAATGTTAATTTTTCATCAATCTATGAAATTAAAGTTCATCCACAATGGTCTTTTGCTGGATATAAAAATCGTTCTTATTTTCGAGCACAAGGTATCAATTTTGTAGCACCTAATGCTCGATTTAAACATCGAACACTTCATTATCATGTTGATATTTGGCCTATTTATGATTATCATCCTGATCAATCAAGAAATACAACAAAAACTATAAAAACTCTTACCGAATATAGTAAATATTATACATGGATATCGTCACCAATCGAATGGACATTTCCATTAAAACCATGCATTTTTAGTGGTATCAAAGTATGGTGTCCAGCAATGCCTGAAAAATTAGTAACAATACAATATGGGGCTACAGCTGTAAACAAAACAGATACAAAATGTGTTAATGGTACTTGGATTTAAATAAAAATTCTTTAAAACAAAGCCTATTCGTACAGTTTCTTTCAAACTGAAATGTAGAATCTACATGTGTCATATCGACTCACTCAACCAATTAAAGATATTCAAAAGGGACTTTCTTCGGAGTAATCGATTTTTTCAGAAAAACTCAGTTTATATGTATTCTGATAGTTCTTGCAATGGGGCTCAAACTTGGTTTAATTTTTATTGTCAAAGAAAGAAATTGAAGTTTTTTTTCTGATGAGTTTACTCGTGACATCAAAAGAATATAAACTTGTATTGTACGGAAACTTTGACAGGTTTATAGCTTGAAAATTAATTTCATAAAGGATTTAATTGATGTTGAATTGATTTCAGATATTTTGGTTAGGAGCTGTGAGTACAATAAAGGCCTAGCTTATAGAGTCCGGCAGAACAAACTTTTTCGTGTCCGAAATATTGTTTGCCTCGTCCCGTAGGATTCTACTCGACGTCACCCATACGTCATCTCTACGTATGAAGAACTATGGACATAACTTTGACATGATATGCAAAAATGATATATCTACATACATGCTATATAATA